TTTTTTTTTTTGTTTGTTTTTTTGTTTTTTTTTTTCCGGAGAACATTCCAGGTTCTTTGCATTTCCATATGCATTTCAGGGTCCGTTTGTCAATTTCTATCAAAACAGCGTCTTGGGGCACCTGAGTGGCTTAGGTGGTGACACATCCATCCCCAGCTCAGGTGATGGTCTCATGGTTCGTGAGCTGGAGCCCCGCATCGGGTTCTCTGCTGTCAGTGTGGAGCCTGCTTGGGATCCTCTGTCCCCCCCACCCTGCCCTTCTCCTGCTCTCTCTCACTCTCTCTCTCAAAAATAAATAGACATTGATCAAAACCCAAAGATGCTTTTTTTAGAACTGCATTGGATTTATAGGTCTCTCTGGGGACAACTGATATGTTGACAACGATGTCTTCTAATAAACATAGAGTATCTCCTAAGGGTTCTCTAATTTCTCTGGGCAGCGATTTGTGGTTCACGGTGTAAACATCAGGCAAATCTTTCATCCGATTCATTCCCAAGTATTTTATGTGCTTTGATTGTATCATAAATGGTATCTTTATTTAACTTTCCGATTGTTCAATGCAGGTATACAGAAAACAAGTGTCTTTTGTATAATGATTTGTATCTCGGCACCTTCATTAAACTCTTTTATCGGTGCTGGTAGGATTTTCTACTTAGGCAACGCTGTTGTCTATAGTTTAACTCCTTTATTTCCAAACTGGGTGCTTTTTATTATTTTGTTGTTGTTGTTGTTGTTTTTCCCCTTGCCTCATTGCTCTGGCTAGAACCTCTGGTACAATACTGAGTAGAAACGGAAATGGTGGGAGCAGACATCCGTGGCTTGTTCCTGACCCCAGAGGGAAATCATTCAGTTTTACATTACTAAGTGTGTTGTTAGCTGTAGCTTTTTCCTAGACATCCTTTCGAGGGAGTTATCGTGTATTCCTAGTTTGACGAGAGTTTTTTTCTTTTTAAATCACGAATGGATAGTGGATTTTGTCAAATGCATTTTTCTGCCCCTACTGATGTGGTCATGTGGATTTTTCTCTCTTAGTTCTTTAACATGGTGAATTGCACTAATTGATTTCTGAATGTTAAAACAACCTCGCATTCCTGAGATAGAACCAATTGGGTCATGATGAATTAGCCTTTGCCTATATTTGCTAAAACTTTGTTTAGGAGTTTTGGGTCTGTGTTCATGAGGGATCATGGTCTGCCGTGTTCTTTTCTTGTGACGTCCTGTCTCTCAGGGACCACTGAGACTGTCCTTTGTTGCTTGATGTCCGATATCTTGAGAACTGTTGTTTCCTGTATTTTATTCTCTGTTTTAGGTGTTTCAGGGGTGTGTTGGAGGGACCCCCTCCTTGTTCCATAGCTTACCTGGACACGGAGGTCTTCTTGACCCATTTTTGCTTCATTTCCAATGTGAGGACCTCAGGACGCCTGGGTGGCTCAGGTGGTTAAGCGTCTGACTTCAGCTCAGGTCATGATCTCACATTCGTGGGTTTGAGCCCCACGTTGGGCTCTGTGCTGACAGCTCGGAGCCTGGAGCCTGGAGCCTGCTTCGGATGCTGTGTCTCCCTCTCTCTCTCTGCCCCTCCCCTGCTCACACTCTCTCTCTTTCTCTCTCCCTCCCTCAAAAATAAATAAACATAAAAAAAAAGTAAACGTGAAGACCTTGGTTACCAGATCCAACATGTGAAAAGAGCCCACCGCCCAGACCCCGGGTCCGCTCTTAATGGCCCCATGTCATGCTTTCACACAAAGTGAAACCTGTGTCCCTGTGACCACATCACATCTTTTGGAATAGCACAGAGACCTGTACTTTGCTTTGCTAACTAAAAAGTAAACCTCCTTCACCGCACCCAGCCTCGTCTGACAATCGAGTTGTGCCCCGAGTTTTTTAGGGAGAGAGCTATTAAGAGCAGAATATTCTCCCCCTCTTACCCTTTGACAACTGTTGCTAACATCTGTGTGTCTGGTTGAGTAAGAAAATTTGCAGGTGTTCTGTCCAAAACCCTTGGCCCTTGGTCTGCTCCAGATAGGCTTTATCCTAGCACACCCCCCTACAGAAGGAAGTTTATTCCTCAGACCCTTTGCCTTATCTTCTTATTATCTTCTTATCTCTTCCTGGAGACTTGACATTGGTAAGGGATATCATGATGCCAACATGTTCTCTTGTCTAGGAACAGCCATTGAGTCTGGAGAAGGAATGACGTACTTTGTGCCCATCATTGATGGCTGTCCTTTGCATCAGTCAACCATCCAGATGGACATGGCAGGCCAAGACCTAACCTCGTATCTCCTGCAACTATTGACAGGCGGTGGGCACTCGTTGGTGAGCACAGGTAGGAAATTGCCATTCTTGTCCAGGTGAGCCAATCCCTGGGGTGTAATGTCCTTCTTGGCTGTTCAACCTGCAGCCCTCAGTTTATAAAGCTAAGGCTACTTGACCGTGATTCAAGTCTTACAAATAACTTTACCTATGTTTAGGGACACCTAGTGATTGATAATGACAATGGGGATGATGGTGATGAGGATGATGACGAGGATGAGGATGATGGTGATGGTCATGGTGACATGATGACGACGATGGGCTAAGCTTTACGGAATAGTTACTCTGTGTCAGCCACCCAGGAGGTGGGAGGGGTGCGACCTTCCAGATGTTTCCGGGTGAGGGGGCCTGGCTGGCTGGGGCAGCTGTCAGCAGGAGGGGGCAGCCCTGAGCTGTTCGCGACCAACATTCACAGCAGGTGGGGATCGGGGCACCGACAGCAGCCCCTGCTTTAACAGGTGATGAGATCGGGTTTGATCTTCCAGGCCCTGGAAACACACACCCTCCACAGCAGGATAGCAACACGTAACACGCAGGCGGTGTCCAAATGTTTGCACCTCGGTTCGGGACACCCCTGCCCTGCCGTTCTCTCCCACAAGCCCAGGCCCCCGGCATATGTTGCAGATCAAGAGGCGCTGGGATCTGAGATGAAAACAGGAACAGGTGCTATGATTGTGCCGCCTCGTCCCCACCGCGAGGTGCTGAAGCTTCAGGAAGATGCTCCCTGGGGACGGGCTGCCTCTGTGAAGCATCTCAGGCCACGCCCTTCTCTGTCCGGCCCTTGGCCTTTCCCCCCATAGGCGACCGGGAGCACGTCCGGAGCATAAAAGAACAATACTGCTACGTGGCTTTGGACTTTGACAAGGAAAAAGTAAAAACGGACGCGCCTTCCTACGCCCAGAAAGTTCAGCTGCCCGATGGCCAGGAGGTCACCCTCGGGCAGGAGAAGTTCTTCTGCCCCGAAGCGCTTTTCCAGGCGGACCTCATGGGTGAGTGGTGGGAAGGGGCCAGGGGTGACCCCGGATGCACACAGTAGGGCCGCTGTACGGGGGACGGAGCCCGGCAGTCACAAGGGGGGCGCTGTCTTCAGTAGTGAGTAGGTGCCCATTTCTAGTTCCTGTGGGAGCAACTATCACTTATTGAGCACCTACTGTATGCCTGTGACTCTGCCGACCTTTGTACGCGGGCCTGCAGCCTTCAATCCTGCCCCATGTGCCGTGGCTCACGTTACAGGTGAGGAAACCCAGTGCAGAGCACTAAACACTTGTCAGGTGTGCCTGAGTCCCCGGCTGGACCCCGCACTGCCCTTCCGCTGTGTGACTTCTACTCCGCCTGCCTACACAATAATTTGAAAAATGCAAATGGAGACAAAACAGAAGGGCGAAAACCACAGATTCTGAGGGAACCGGAAACATTTTGGCTGATGTAGAGATTTTTTTTTTTTTTAAAGTTCTAGTACAGGTAACACAGTGTGGTATTAGTTCCAGGTGCACGAGTTAGTGAGCGATCGTTTTTGCTTCGTGTTACAACCCCCCAGCTCCATCCACGTTGCTGCAAATGGTAAGATCTCATACTTCTTTGTGGCTGAGGAATATTCCCATGCGTGTATACCGCCTGTCCTTGGCGGGACTGTGGACAACAGCCAGACTATGGGAGCAGCCCCAGTGACCTCGCGGTCCTAGAGGGGTACTGAGTCGGCTAAGCTTCCTCGCAGGCATGGCAGAACAGGAACGATGGGATGGACTGTAAAATTCCTTGATGGGGAAGGTTTCCAGGTCGTCACGGAAAACCAGCCGTCTCCTGGAATCCGTTGGTGAAAATAATTGTTTGCATTTATGAGGGACGGAGGGGAACAAGAGGGACAAAACCACTTCCCCAGGATTAGTACCTAGGATTAGTACCTCGTCAGGATGTGGCTTTTACACGTGGCACGGGCGAGCTGAGTTTACCTCTGCTCTCCTCATTGGAGTTTGCGGGGGATAAAGGCTTCAAACATGGCCCATGCCCCCCGAAATATTAAGTTGGATAAAGGAAACCATCGTCGGATGAATTTTCTCGCCCACAACGTGACCCTTCTCCTCCGCATCTGGGGGGACCTCAGTGAGCGTGAACACGGCCAACCCCGTGATGAGAGCCGAGCATCGGCGGCCCGCGTTCACGTTCATCGGGCCAGGCACGTTCTCGATGATTCTGGGAAATCAGCCTTCTCATTCTTTATCCCAAGGCTGTGCGGTAGGTCCTATCCCAGGTGAGGAGAGGGAGTAACCGTCAGGCACCCCCGGCCACCCCTCCCAGAAGCTCCCAGTGCTGAACACACCGGAATACACGCCCTTGTCCTTGGGAGCTGTTCTCTGCATACTTGTGTTTATGTCTATGGACTAATGATGAGTCAAGAAGATGTCAGCTAGACGTATCGTGGCGATCGTTGTGCAATATATACAAATAATGAATCATTAAGTCGTACGCCTGAAACGAATATAATGTATGCCAATTACACCTCAATAAAACATAATTTCTTTTTTTAAAAAAGGAATCATCAGTATAATTTTTCAAAGGCCACCCGAGCAAGGACGTTGCCTCTGCAGAAATCTGTTCAGAAAGTAATAGGCCGTGGCATTAAAGGTTAATAATTGTCAGTAACATCTGAATATAAGTCATCTCAGATGAGAGGAGAAGTAATATTTGTGTATTCAGCCGTCAGCCGTTGAGCCCCACACATAAGGGCCCTGTGGTCGGTGGTGCTGATGTTTGCCCACTGCCCTCGGAGCTGAGATCCGGGGGGAGCCCGTGACCCCCGC